TCCCCCCCCCCTCACCCCATCTTCCCTCTTTTTTTAATTCTGCAAACTTCTTGTCGACATTTCACATCGTATTACTCGCGAAAGTAAGAGATTTGAACCTGAGAGGGCTCTGAGTGACTCCTCTTGTCTTTCCATGAACACATTGTATAAGTATTTCCTATCTCCCGAATGCTTTAACAACGGGAACAATTTATTTAACGTTCTGACGTTGAAATAAACCATAGCGAGTTTAGTAGGTTTTTAAACGTTAATTAACTATAATAATATATTCAGAGTGAGCTTATCAGCAATGACAAAACAGCACTGACTATATTATGCGGCCCGATACTTAGATCTATGTTTGATCAGCATTTTAAACTGATAAAGTGACAACGTATTTAGACAGGTGACAGACATTCTAAGATAAGGACAGGCCTACAGGTAGCAAAACCCGATGAATTAAAACTTCGTAAAGCTACTAGATGTTTGAACAGTACAGATTATCACACCGACGATGGAAACTCAACAGATAATTTCCTTATGCACTCAGATTAGGAGGTAGGCATGGTCACGTGATTGCCGCGTTACGTTTTGCTCTATCACTCTGACTATCTAGAAAATTCGAAAGCTGTCTAACACGCCAGAGTACCAGTCCTCCTCCTTCTCTCCTCCTCCTCCCTCTCCTCGCCTCCTCCCCCTCCTCGCCTCCTCCCCCCTCTTTTATGGTTATAATCATGCCTGTTGTCATTATCAAAGTAGCATATTTTTTCGGCATTTACTTCTTTTTTATCAGACAAGTACGTGCCTGCGTTGTTGCAACTTGACTTTCGATTCGAATGAATTCAATCTGATATTTTGGTTTCGAGTTTGCATCTGGCTAAAGAGAAGCAAAAATACGCGATATCGATCATGTAGTGCTACGAAAAGTAATACAGATAGAAACCAAACGGGAACAGTAGAGAGGCTGGAACTATTTGTGACGCCTTTCAAACACCTGCTCTAAAAAGGCAACATTATTCTAAGAATCTAGACAAACTGCTGCTGTATGGGGAACATTAGAGGGGAAGAAGAGCAGAGGAGGACAAAGAACAACACGCACAGGTGGCCTGAACAACTTTACAACAATTAATAATACAAAGAGAACAACAGAGTCGACAATGAAGACAGAAGGCAAGAAGGATATGGAAGGCAGACAGCGAGAATGACAGACAGCTAGAAGGAAAGACAGCAAGAGGGAAGGCAGACAGCAAGAAGGATAAGAAAGGCAGACAGACAGCAAGAAGGACATACAGCTAGAAGGACAGACAGCGAAAAGGACAGACAGCTAGAAGGAAAGACTGCAAGAGGGAAGGCAGACAGCAAGAAGGATAAGGAAGGCAGACAGCAAGAAAGATAAGGAAGACAGACAGCAAGAAGGGTAAGGAAGACAGACAGCAAGAAGGGTAAGGAAGACAGACAGTAAGAAGGATAAGGAAGACAGACAGCAAGAAGGAAGGCAGACAGCAAGAAATTTAAGGAAGGTAGACAGACAGCGAGAAGGACAGACAGCAAGAAGGATAAGGCAGACAGACAACAAGAAGGAGTGGGGTACAGTGTATAACATGTTTCGTCAATGTCTGCTCCTTACTTGATACCTGAAGAAGATTCTTCACATAACTATTACAACACGCGACTGTTCTGAACGTTACGAACGTGAAATGATTATAAATACAGGCTACGTGTACTCACCTTAGGGCAGAAGCCCTCGTTGGTGTTGCGGTCAGTTAG